TGAGTTATCCATTCCTGCGGAGCATACAGGAAAATGAGTTCTGCTTCCCATTCAGGTCCCTGCTAATGCTCCCAGGATGGAAGCCCAGTATGGTCCAGTCACTTGGGCCCCTGCCATCCCACACAAGGACCAGCATGCAGTTCTGGGCTCTCAGCTTTGGCCAGGTCCTGCCCCAGCCGTTTTGGCTGTTGGGGGAGGGGGTCCAGGAGACGGAAGATCTTCATGTCTCTCTGTCTGCTCCTCTCTCGCTGTCACTCTACCTTTCATCAAAACAGAGCAAATATTAAAAGGAATAAAGACAAGGGGACACAAACAGACAGACATAAACATCTGGTCTGCAGTTTCCCTCCACAAATTCTGAAATTGCTGGTGCTGGGCCAAGCTGACATCCAGCCTCCAGAGCTTACTCCAGGTCTCTCAGGTGTGTTGCGGGGTCCCATGTGCTTGAACCATCTCCTGCTGTCTTGCACAGGATGTATGGGCAGGAAGCTGCAATTGAGAATCAAGTCTGGACTTGCAAGGCAGCAATGCGCAAGGTTGCTTTCTGTCTGCCCAGGATCTCAGTCAGCTCCTTGTTAACGTGTAGGGGAAGGCAGCAGAAGATGGCCTGCATCTTGGGCCCTCGCCCTCACATGGAAGACCAGGATGTGCTTCCCAGTTCCTAGTTTAGCTTCGCCAGACCCAGTCGTGGAGGCTGTTTGCTGTGTGAACCAGCAGATGGAAGATCTCTTTCTCTTTCTGATTGTCTATCCTTGTCTCTGTGTTTCTCTGCCTTTCCCATAACTAAAATATTTCCTGAACCTATCAGCGACAGCAGAGAGCCAGAGGGGTCAGGCAGACAAACAGAAATCTCCTATGTGCTGATGTTCTCCCCAAATCACCGAAAGCACTAGAGCTGGTCCAGGCTGAAACTGGGCTCCAGGTGCTAACTTCACATGTCCAGCATGGATGACAGGGCACCGTAGGCCTTGCCCTGGCCTGCTACAGAATGTGTGAGCAGGAAGTTGGAATGGGAACTGTACTGGAGTGGATCCCAGGCACTGCCATGTGGGATTTGGGCATCACAAGACACACCTAGGGTGCTGGCTGAGACAAATTCATACCCAACATTACAGGGCTTGTCAAGCTTCCTCTGGGAAGGCTGGCATTGTCCCCAGCACGTTGAGCTGCCACCTTCAATGCCAGCATCCAAGATGAGCACAGGTTCCTGTAATGACTGCTCCAATTATCATCCAGATCCCTATTATGGCACCTGGGAAAGCAGCAGGTGATAGATTAGGTGCTTAGGACCCTGCCACCCATGGGGCATACCTGGATGTAGTTCCAAGTTTCTGTGGAAGGCCTTGCCCACCCCAAGAGACCATTAAGGAGTGAACCAGGAGACAGAAGATCTGTCTCTTTCTGCCTCTCTGGCTATCCCTGAATAGATTTTTCAGGCAATGAAGGACATCTTACAAAGAAAACAAACAAATGTAATGAAAACCAAACTCTCAGAGCCAAGATGGCGGAACAGTGAGGGCACGCACCGATAGTCCGGGAAAAGAGTTTAATAAAAGTGGAGTTACTGTAGCCTCAGGAAAAGGCTCAGGAAAAAATTGCAGAGGAAACTCTTCCGGATCTAGTGGATGTGACACGGAGGACCTACGGGGAGAGCAAGGTCGCCCACCACGTGGAAGCTGAGCCACAGGAGCCGAGCTGCCACAGAAGCCAAGCCACAGAGTCTGCGCACCAGCACTGGAAGGGGAGGTGAGACAAAAACCCCGGTAACCCGAGACATTGGTGGGGAAAGGCAGAAAGAGCCTACAGGGAACGAGGCCTGAAGCTCCACTGGGGAAAGTTCACCAGGCTGACTGGAGGAGCGAAAAAAACGAATAAATTCCTCAATACAATCAAAGCAATCTATGAAAAACCCACAGCCAACATCCTATTGAATGGGGAAAAGTTGGAAGCATTTCCACGGAGATCTGGTAGCAGACAGGGATGCCCACTCTCACCACTGCTATTCAATATAGTTCTGGAAGTTTTAGCCAGAGCTATTAGGCAATAAATAGAAATTAAAGGGATACAAATTGGGAAGGAAGAACTCAAACTATCCCTCTTTGCAGATGATGTGATTCTTTATTTAGGGGACCCAAAGAACTCTACTAAGAGACTATTGGAACTCATAGAAGAGTTTGGCAAAGTAGCAGGGTATAAAATCAATGCACAAAAATCAACAGCCTTTGTATACACAGGCAATGCCACAGCTGAGGAAGAACTTCTAAGATCAATCCCATTCACAATAGCTACAAAAATAAATACCTTGGAATAAACTTAACCAAGGACGTTAAAGATCTCTACGATGAAAATTACAAAACCTTAAAGAAAGAAATAGAAGAGGATACCAAAAAATGGAAAAATCATCCATGCTCAGGGATTAGAAGAATCAATCCCATCAAAATGTCCATTCTCCCAAAACCAATTTATACATTCAATGCAATACCAATCAAGATACCGAAGACCTTCTCAGATCTAGAAAAAATGATGCTGAAATTCATACAGAGACAAAGGAGACCTTGAATAGCTAAAGCAATCTTGTACAACAAAAACAAAGACGGAGGCATCACAATACCAGATTTCAGGACATACTAGAGGGCAGTTGTTATCAAAACAGCATGGTACTGGTACAGAAACAGATGGATAGACCAATGGAACAGAATTGAAACACCAGAAATCAACCCAAACATCTACAGCCAACTTATATTTGATCAAGGATCCAAAACCAATCCCTGGAGTAAGGACAATCTATTCAATAAATGGTGCTGGGAAAATTGGATTTCCATGTGCAGAATCATGAAGCAAGACCCCTACCTTTCACCTTACACAAAAATTCACTCAACATGGATTAAAGACTTAAATCTACGACCCGACACCATCAAATTATTAGAGAGCATTGGAAAAACCCTGCAAGATATAGGTACTGGCAAAGACTTCTTGGAAAATACCCCAGAAGCACAGGCAGTCAAAGCCAAAATTAACAATTGGCATTGCATCAAATTGAGAAGTTTCTGTACTTCAAAAGAAACAGTCAGGAAAGTGAAGAGGCAACCGACAGAATGGGAAAAAATATTTGCAAACTATGCAACAGATAAAGGGTTGATAACCAGAATCTACAAAGAAATCAAGAAACTCCGCAACATCAAAACAACCAACCCACTTAAGAGATGGGCCAAGGACCTCAATAGACATTTTTCAAAAGAGGAAGTCCAAATGGCCAACAGACACATGAAAAAATGTTCAGGATCACTAGCAATCAGGGAAATGCAAATCAAAACCACAATGAGGTTCCACCTCACCCCGGTTAGAATGGCTCACATTCAGAAATCTACCAACAACAGATGCTGGCGAGGATGTGGGGAAAAAGGGACACTAACCCACTGTTGGTGGGAATGCAAACTGGTTAAGCCACTATGGAAGTCAGTTTGGAGATTCCTCAGAAACCTGAATATAAGCCTACCATAAAATCCAGCCATACCACTCCTTGGAATTAACCCAAAGGAAATTAAATTGGCAAACAAACAAGCTGTCTGCACATTAATGTTTGTTGCAGCTCAATTCACAATAGCTAAGACCTGGAACCAACCCAAATGCCCATCAACAGTAGACTGGGTAAATAAATTATGGGACATGTACTCTATAGAATACTATACAGCAGTCAAAAGCAATGAAACCCGGTCATTTGCAACAAGATGGAGAAATCTGGAAAACATCATGCTGAGTGAAACAAGCCAGTCCCAAAGGGACAAATATCATATGTTCTCCCTGATCGGCGACAACTAACTGAGCACCAAAGGGGAAACCTGTTGAAGTGAAATGGACACTATGAGAAACAGTGACTTGATCAGCTCTTGTCCTGATTGTTGATGTACAATGTAATACTTTATCCATTTTAGTATTTTTTTTTGTTCTAGTACTATTGGTTGAACTCTGTAATTAACACAATTATTCTTAGGTGTTTAAATTTTAACTGAAAAGTGATCCCTGTTAGGAATTTGGAAAACATCATGCTGAGTGAAACAAGCCAGTCCCAAAGGGACAAATATCATATATTCTCCCTGATTGGTGACAACTAACCAAGCACCAAAAAGGAAACCTGTTAAAGTGAAATGAGAAGGCACCATGGCTCACTAGGCTAATCCTCCGCCTTGCGGCGCCGGCACACTGGGTTCTAGTCCTGGTCGGGGCACCAGATTCTGTCCTGGTTGCACCTCTTCCAGGCCAGCTCTCTGCTGTGGCCAGGGAGTGCAGTGGAGGATGGCCCAAGTGCTTGGGCCCTGCACCCCATGGGAGACCAGGAGAAGCACCTGGCTCCTGCCATCTGATCAGCACGGTGCGCTGGCTGCAGCGCGCCAGCTGCAGCGGCCATTGGAGGGTGAACCAATGGCAAAGGAAGACCTTTCTCTCTGTCTCTCTCTCACTGTCCACTCTGCCTGTCAAAAAATAAAAAATAAAAATAAAATAAAGTGAAATGAACACTATGGGAAATGGTGACTTGATCAGCCCTTGCTCTGACTGTTGATGAACAACTTAATACATTATCCCTCTTAGTATTTTTTTTTGTTTGTTCTACTTAATACTTTTGGTTGAATACTATAATCAATACACAGTTATTCTTAAGTGCTGAAACTTAACTGAGAAGTGATCACTGTTAAATATAAAAGTGGGAATAAGAGAGGGAAGAGATGTGCAATTTGGGACATGCTCAAGCTGACTTGCCCCAAACGGTAGAGTTAGAAACATACCAGGGGTTTCCAATTCAATCCCATTGAGGTGGCATGTAACAATGCCATCTCACTAGTCCAAGTGATCAATTTCAGTTCACAATTGATCATAATGATAGGACTAAGAACCAAAGGGATCACATAAACAAGACTAGTGTCTGCAAATACTAACTGATAGAATAAAAAAGGGAGAGAACCATCCAACATGGGAAGTGAGATACACAGCAGACTCATAGAATGGCAGATGTCCTAAACAGCACTCTGGCCTCAGAATCAGCCCTTAAGGCATGTGGATCTGGCTGAAAAGCCCATGAGAGTATTTCAGGCATGGAAAGCCAAGACACTCTGGCAAAAAAAAAAAATGACCTAAATGAAAGATCTCCGCGAGTGAGAGCCTAGTGGAAAGAACAGGTCATCAAAGAAGGAGGTACCTTTCTCTGAAGGGAGGACAGAACTTCCACTCTGACTACGTAAATATGATCAGAGTTGGTGAACTCAAAAGGCTTCCATAGCCTTGGCAACTCATGACAAGAGCCTAGGGTGATTACTGATGCCATAAAAAAGAGTGTCAATTTGTTAAGTCAACAACAGGAGTCACTGTGCACTTACTCCTCATGTAGGATCTCTGTCCTTAATGTGCTGTACATTGTGATTTAATGCTATAACTAGTACTCAAACAGTATTTTTCACTTTGTGTTTCTATGTGGGTGCAAACTGTTGAAATCTTTACTTAATGTATGCTAAACTGATCTTCTGTATATAAAGAGAATTGAAAATGAATCTTCATGCGAATGGAAGGGGGAGGGAGAGGGAAAGGGGAGGGTTGCCGGTGGGGGGGAAGTTATGGGGGGGGAAGCCATTGTAATCCATAAGCTGTACTTTGGAAATTTATATTCATTAAATAAAAGTTTAAAAAAAAATAAAACCCAACTCTAGCAAAACCACAGCTTTTGATTTGAGAGGAAGACACAGACAGAAGGCAGAGAATCACCGTGGCCCTAAAGACTAGCAATATGCACTGGAGTCCTGATCAGGTTAAAATGTCACTGAGAGCACAGATGAAGTCAAATGAAGTCAGCAATACATGACTTCCAAAGGCTGAGAGTGGGGATAGTCTTATGGCACAAGGAGTTGGGCCTCAGCTGGCCATTTGAAGGGTAAATTATTGGAGCTCAAGTTCTGCTTCCTATGCAACTCCTTGCTAATGTGCCAGGCATGGCAATCCAAGACAGCCCTTATCAGTTAAGCCCCCTGAAACCCACAGCAGGGACTAGCATGTAGTCCTGGCCTACCAGGTATGGCCAGGTCCCACCACAGCCATTTTGGCCATTTGGGGGTACTCCAGGGGATGGAAAACCTCCATGTCACTCTGCTCTCCCTTTCTTGCTATCACTCCACTTTTCAACTAAACACAAATCTTAAAAGCAAGAAAAATAAGGCAGGTAGAAAGGTGGACAGAGACAGATAGACATAAATGTCTGCTCTGCTGTTTCGCTCCCCAAATTCTGAAACTGCTAGTGCTGGGTCAGGCTGACGCCAGGCCCCAGGAGCTTAACACAGGTGGCTCAACTGTGTGGCAGGGTCCCATGAGCTGGAATCTACATCTGCTGCTTCATACAATGTGTGTGGGCAGGAAGCTGGGATTGGGAGCAGAGCCTGGGCTTGCAACCGCAGCAATGCAGAGGGTTGCGATGCAACTCCTTGCTAATGTGTCAGGGAAGGCAGAGATGGCCCTCATTCTAAGGCCCTCCCAATCACACAAGAGACTGGGATGGGGTTTCCAGATCCTGACTTTAGACTGACCTGACCCAGCCATGGGGCCCGTGTGGAGTGTGAACAAGTATATAGAAGAACTCTCTTTCTCTTTCTTATCTCTTGTGTTCTTATCTCTGTGTTCCTCTGCCTTTCCTATAACTAAAATACTTCAAGAACCCATCGGTAAAAACAGAGAGTTTCAGGGGGCAGAAAGACTGAAAAAGAAACCTGCCATGTGTTGATTTCCTTCCCAAATTTCTGAAGGAGTTAGCACTGGACCAGGCTGAAGCCAGCTGCATGGCACTTACTCCAAGTATCCCACCCTAGCCCTTCCCATGACCTGTTGTCAACCTTGTTATGTACAAGCAGGAAGCTGGATTGGGAACAGAGCCTGGAGTTGAACCCAGCTGCTACCTTGTGTGATATGGGCATCATAAGACACAACTGAGCTGCTGACTGGACCAAATATGTACTCCACTGCTTTAGGTTTTTCCAACCTCATCTTGGGGCTGCCATTGTGGTCTAGCAGGTTGAGCCACTACCTGCAATACTGGCATCCCAGATGAGCAAAGGTCCCAGTCCTGGCTGCTCAACTTCCCATCCAGCTCCCTGCTAATGGGACTGGGAAGGCATCCAATGATGGATCAGGTACTCGGGCCCCTGTACCCAAGTGGAAGACCTGGATGCAGTGCTAGGTTGTTGTGGAGGGCTTGGCCTGCCATGACAACCATTTGGGGAGTGAACCAGCAGATGAATGATCTATCTCTCTTCTATGCTGGCTCTAGCAGCCTAAGTCCAGTTTAAGGCAATGAAGGAAGTCCTACAAAGAAAACAGAAAAACAAACAAATGTAATGGTAACCAAAATTTCAACAAAAAATCATAGTTTTGTGGACTTGAGAGGCAGACAGACAGATAGAAACCAGAAAAACAGAGCAACCCCAAAGACCAGCAATATGTACTGTGGTTCTAATCAGGTTAAAGCATCACTGAGAACACTTATGAAGAAAAACAAAGTCATGAATACATGACTTTGAGGCTGAGTATGGGGCTAGCCTTGTGGCACAGGGGGTTGGGCCTAAGCTGGCCATTGAGGCATGGCAAATGAGACCCCAGGTTGTGCTTCCCATGCAGCTCCCGGCTAATGGGATTCCAGCCAAAGGTGGCTTGTTCGCTTGGGTCCCCATCACCTACAGCGGGTATAGGCAAGCAAGTTTGGGCTCTTGGCCTCCACCTGGTGCTGCCCAGGCCTTTACAGCCATTGGAGGAGTGATCCAGATAATGGAAGATTTCCAGCTCTGTCTGTCTCTCCATCTGTCACTGACACTCTGTCTTTCAACTAAACAAAATATAACTTAGAAGCAAAAGGACAAGGCAGAGAGGTGAACAGAGAAGACAGGCAGATAGAAATGTCTAGTTTGCTTTTTCCCTTCCCAATTTCTTATACTTCTGGTGTTGGTCCAGGCTGAGCCCTGGCACAGAAGCTTACCTGGGTCTCTCAGCTGTGTGGCAGGGCCCCACATTTGGGAACCATCACCTGCTTCCTCCAAGCGTGTATGGGCAGAAAGCCTGGACTTGCCAACTGCAGCAATGCATAGGATTGCATTGCTGGCCGCCTAGGCTCTGACGCAGCTTCTTGCTAACCTACCATGGAAGCCAATAGCACACGGGAGACTAGGATATGGTTTCCAGATCCTGGGTTTAGACGGGCCTGACCCAGCCATGGAGGCTGTTTAGGGTGTGAACCAGCAGATAGAAGATCTCTTTCTCTTTCTCTCTCTGTCCTTGTGTCTGTGTTCCTCTTCCTTTCCCATAACTAAAGTACTTCTGAACTCATTAGTGAAAAACAGAGAGCCAGAGGAGAACAACAGATGGAAAGATAGAAACCTCTCACATACTGATTTCCTCCCCAAATCTCTGAAAGAGCTATCACTGGTCTGGGCTGACTCTGGGCACCAGGCTCTTACTTTAAGTGCCCCACGTGGGTGTAAGGGCCAACAGTCCTTGCTGTGACCTGTTGCCAACCTTGGTTTGTATGAGCAGGACACTGGAATGGAACAGTGAGTGGAGTATAACCTAGGCAGTGCCATGTGGGATGTGGGCATCACAAGACACAACCGAGCTGGCTGGACCAAATGCGTATTCCACACTTCAGAATTTCCCACACAACCTCATACTGGAGGCTGGCTTTGTGACCCAGATAGTAAGCCACTGCCTTCAATGCCAGCTTCCCACATGAGCAAAGGTTCTAGTCCTAGTTGGTCCACTTTCCATCCAGCTCCCTGCTGTTGCACTAGCAAGGCGTCAGGTGATGGAACAGGTTCTTGGGACCCTCCTACCCATGTGTCTGACCTGCGTACAGTTCCATGTCGCTGTGTAAGGCTTGGCCTGGCTCAACAGCCATTTGGGGAGTGAACCAGAAGATGGTTCTCGCTGCCTAAGTCCACTTTCAGGCAATGCAGGATGTCCTACAAAGAAAGCAAACAAATGTAATGGTAACCAAAATCTCTTCCAAAATCATAGCTTTGCATATATGAAAGGCAAAAAGACAGATAGAAGCCAGAGAAACAGAGCAGCCCCACAGACCAACAGTATGCACTGGAGTCCCCATGAGGTTAAAGCATCAGTGAGAACTAGATGAGGTCAGATGAAGTCATGAATGCACAACTTTCAAAGACTGAGCCTATGGCTACCCTACGGCTACCCTATGGCACAGGGTGTTGGGCCTCAGGTGGCCACTCCCATTGGGGCATACAGGAGACCAGATTGTGCTTATCCATGAGTACTCTGCTAATGCGCCTCGGATGGCAGCTCAAGATGGCCAAATAACTTGGGATCCTACCACCCAATGGAGACGAGCATGAAGTTTTAGGCTCCTGGATTCCACCTGGTTGTGCCCAAGTCTTTGTCACCATTTTAGGGGATGATCCAGAAAATGGAAGTTCTCCAACTCTCTCTGTCTCTCCATCTCTGGCTGTCACTCCACCTGTAACAAATAAATCTTGAAAGCAAAAAAGACAAGGCAGGGATACATGGGACACAAACAGAGCGAAATGTCTGATCTGTTTCCCTCCCCAATTTCTGGTAGTGCTAGTTCAGGTTGACACCATGCCAAGGAGCATAACCCAAGTCTCCAGGTGTGTGGCAGGATCCCACATGCTTGAACCATCTCTTCCTGTCTTGCACTACATGTATAGACAGGAAGCTGGGATTGGGAACAGAGCCTAGACTTGTAACTGCAGAAGTGCAGAGGGTCGCATTCCCAGCTTCCCAGGATGTCATGCAGCTCCTTGCTAATGTGCCTTGCAACTCAACAGAAGGCCATGATCTTGGGCCTCCAACCCACTTGGGAAATCGTTTTCAGGCTCTAAGATCCTGGCTTTATACTGGCCTGACCCAGCCATGGAGGCCATCTGGGGAGCGAACCATCAGATGGAGGGTCTCTTTCTCTTTCTCTTTATCTATCTCTATCACTGTGTTCTTCTGCCTTTCCCAATCTGAAATACTTCTGGAACCCTTCAGCAAAAAGGGAGAGACAGAGGTGGGGGATAGATAAAAATGACAGAAATTTCCCATATGCTGATTTCCTCCCTCAATATGTGAAACAGGTTACACTGATCTAGGCTGAAACTGGGTGCCAAGCGCTTTTTCCTGGTGTCCCATGTGGGTCATTGCCACAGTCCTTGCCATGTCCTCCAGCCTGCCAAGGTATGTTAGAGAAGGAAGCTGGAATGGGAGGAGGGCCTGGAAATGAACCCAGTCACTGCCAATGTGGGATTTGGGTATCATAGGACATATCTGACCAAATGCATACCCCAGAGCTTTAGTTTTTTTCAGCTTCACCCTGGGGGCAGGCATTGTGGCTCAGTGGGTTAAGCTACTGCCCACAATGCAGGCATCTGAGATGAGCACAGGTTCTAGTCCCAGTTGCTCTACTTCCTATCCCGCTCCCTGCTATTGCTCCTGGGAAGGCAGCAGGTAATGGAGCAGGCACTTGGCCCCTCTCATCCAAGTGGCTCACATGGATGCAGTGCAAAGTTGTTCTGGAAGGCTTGGTCTGCCCTGAGAGCCCTCTGGGCAGTGTATCAGCAGATGGAAGATTGTCTCTCTGGCTCACCAGCTCTCTCTGGCTAAGTCTATTTTGGGTGATGAAAGACACCTTACGAAGAAAACAAGAAAGCAAATGTAACAGTAACCATAATCTACCAAAGCCAAGCTTTGTTGATTTGAGAGGCAGGCAGAAACCAGAGAAACAGACCAGCAACATGCACTGTGTTCCCGATTAGGTTACAACGTCACTGATAACACGGATTAAGACAAAGTCATGAGTACACAACTTTCAAAGGCTGAGCACAGACTCGTCTTGTGGCTCAGAATGCTGGCCTCAGCTGGCAACTCCCATGGGGCACATGGGAGCCTGTTTTCAGGTTCTAAAGCAGCTCCCTGCTAATGTATCTGGGATGGAAGCCCAAGATGGCCAAATCACTTGGGTCCCTGACACCCACAGCAGGGACCAGCATGCAGTTCTGGCCTCCCAGCTCTGAAGTGGTCTTGACCGTACTTTTGCAGCCATTTTGGGGGGTGATCCAGGCAAAGGAAGAGCTCCATGTCTGTTTGTCTCATCCTCTCATGGCTATTCCTCCTTCAACTAAACAGAACAGATTGTGAAAGCATAACAGGCAAGGCAGAGAGATCAAGTGACACACAAAAACAGATAGGAATGTCTGGTCTGCTATTTCTCTCCCCAAATTTTTGAAACTGCTACTGCTGATGCCAGCAGTGAAGAGCTTAACACAGGATTAGAGGGTGTGTGGCAGAGTCCTACATGCTAGAATCATCTCCTGCTGCCTTCCACAGTATGTATGGACAGGGAGGTGGGATACAGAACACGGCCTGGTCTCACAACTGCAGCAATGCAGAGGGTTGCACTGCCAGCTGCCCAGGATGTGATTCAGCTCCTTGCCAATATGCCAGAGAAGACAGCAGAAAATGACCCAGATTCTTGGGTCCTCTCAAACAACAGGAGACGGGCATGGGGTTTCCAGTTCCTGACTTAGATGGGCCTGATCCAACCATGGAGACTGGTTGGGATGTGAAGTAGCAGATGGATCTATTTATCTTTCTGTCTGTTCTTGTCTCTGTGTTACTCTGTCTTTCTCATAACTAAAATATTTCTTGAATCCATCTACAAAGGCAGAGAGATACAAGAGGACAAACAGAAAGACACAAATCTCCCATGTGCTGATTTCCTTTCTAAATCTCTGAAAGAGCTAGTGCTGGTCCAGGCTGATGCTGGGCACCAAGTGCTTATTCAGGTGTCCTATGAGGGTGTTGGGGCCAACACAGTCCTTGCCATGACATGTTGCCAGCCTCAGTGTGTATGAGCAGGACTCAAATGGGAGCAATGACTGGAGTGGAATCCCAGCACTGCCATGTGGGATGTGGGCATCACAAGACACCTGATCTGCTGCTGGACCAAATGCATACCCCACACTGCAAGTTCTTCCAACCTCATCTTAGGGGGTCGGCATTGTGTCAAGGCAGGCTAATCTGCCACCTGCAATGCTGGCATCCCGGATGAGCACAGGTTCTAGGCCAGGCTGCTCTTCCTGCTGCACTGCCCATCCAACTCCTGCTGTCAGGCCAGGGAGGGCAGCAGGTGATGGATCAGGTTCTCGGGACCTTCCCATCCATGTGGCTGACCTGCATACAGTTCCAGGTTGCTGTAGGAGGCCTGGCCCTCCCAGACAGCCATTTGGGGAAGTGAACCAGTGGACAGAAGATCTGCTATCTCTTCCATGCTGTCTAAGTCCACTTTGAGGCAATGAAGGAAGTCCTACAAAGAAAACAGAAAACAAATAAATGTCATGGTAACCAAAATCAACCAAAACCACAGCTTTGTTGACTTGAGAAGCAAATAGAAGCCAGTGAATCAGAGTAGCCCCAAAGACCAATAATGTGCACTGGGGTCCTGATCACATTGAACAGTTTGTGAGAATACAGATGAAGTCAAATGAAGTCATGAATACACAACTTTCAAAGGCTGAGTGTGGGGTTAACCTTGTGGCTCGGGGTGTGTGGCTTCAGCTGGCCAATCGCGTAGGCCATACAGGAGCTGGGGTTATGCTTCCCATGCAGCTCCCTGCTAAGGTACCTGGGATGGCAACCCAAGGCAGCCAAATCACTTGTGTCCCTGGCACCCACAGTGGGTCCAGCATGCATATCTAGGCTCCTGGCTTTTACCTTCCCTTGCCCAAGCCTTTGTGGCCATTTGGGGGGCTGTGATCCAGGCAATGGGATATCACCAAATCTTTCTGTCTCTCCATCTCTTGTTGTCACTCTGCCTTCAAATAAACAAAACAAAAAATGAAACCAAAAATGCAAGCAGGGATTCAGGTGGACACAGAGGACAGACAAAGAAAATGTCAAGTCTGCTGTTTCCCTCTCCAGTTTCCTAAAATTCTGGTGCTGAGCCAAGCTAAGCCCAGGACCAGAAGCTTAACCCTAGTTTCCCAGGTGAGTGGCAGATCACACATGCTTGAACCATCACCTGCTGCCTCCCACACTGTGTATGGGTAGGAAGCTGGGGTTGGGAGCAGAGTCTGGACTTGCAACTGCAGCAATGCAGAGGGTTGCATTTCTGGCTGCCCCAGATCTGATGCAGCTCCTTGCTAATATGGCAGGGAAGGCAGCAGAAGATGGTCCACAATTTTCAGCCTCCAACCCACTCAGACAACTGTTTTCAGGTTCCAAGATCCTGGCTTTAAACTGGCCTGACCCAGCCACAGATGCCATTTGAGGAGTGAACTATCAGATGGAAGGTACATTTCTCTTTCTCTATCTGTCTCTGTGTTTCAATGCCTTTCCCATTACTAAAATACCCATCAGCCAAAGCAGAGAGATGGAGGGGGAAGACAGACAGAAAGAAATCTCCCATGTGCTGACTTCCACCCTCAATATCTGAAACAGCTTGAGCCAGTCCATGAGGAAGCTGGGTGCCAGGCACTTTCTCCACGTGTCCTACGAGTGGGCAAGGCCACCGCAGACCTTGCCATGTCCTCCTTCCTGCCATGGTGTGTCACAGCAGAACGCTCAAATAGAAGCAGAGCCTGAAGTGAAACCCAGGCACTGCCGTGTGGGCTGTGGACATCACAAGACACATTTGAGGTTCTGGCTAGACCAAATGCATACCCCACAGCTTCAGGTTTGTCTGATCTCATCTTGGGGACAAGCATTTTGGTCCAGGAGGTTAAGTCACAGCCTGCAATGCCTGCATCTCAGATGAGCACAGGTTCCAGTCCCAGCTGCTCCACTTCCCATTCAGCTCCCTGCTAAGGCACCTGGGAGGCAGCAGGTGATAGATCAAGTAATCAGACCCCTGCAACCCACCTGGCAGACCTAACTACAGTTCCAGGTTGATGTGTAAGGCCTGACCTGCCCCTACAGTCATTCCGGGAGTGAACCAGCAGATGGAAGACCTGTCTCTCTCGGCCTCAGTGGCTCTTGCTACCTAAGCCCACTTTCAAGCAATGAAGGAAGTCTTAAAAAGAAAACAAGAAAACCAACAAACATAATGGTAACCAAAATCTCTATGAAAACCACAGCTTTGTTGATTTGAGAGGTGGACAGACAGAAGGCAGAAAAGTCAGAGCAGCTCTAAAGACCAGCAACATGCACTGGGGTCTGGATCAGGTTAAAGCACCACTGAGAACACAGATGAAGTCAAGCAGAGTCACGAATACATGACTTTCAAAGGCTGAACGTGGGGTTACCTTGTGGCACAGGGTGCTGGGCCTCAGCTGGCCACTCATACAGGGCACATGGGAGCCCAGGTTCTGCTTCCCATGCAGCTCCCTGTTCATGAGACTGGGATGGCAGCCCAAGATGGCCCAATCACCTATGGCCCTGCAATCCAGAGCAGGGAACACCATGCAGTCCTGGCCTCCCAGGATCGCCCAGGTCCTGCCACAGCCATTTTGCTGTATGGGGGTATTCCAGTGGTGGAATATCTCCATTTCCCTGTCTCTCCCTCTCTCACCTTCACTCCACCATCTTTCAACTAAACACAACAAATCTGGAAAGCAATAAAGACAAGGCACGGAAACAGATGGACAGAGACAGACAGACATAAATGTCTGCTCCACTGTTTTCCTCCCCAAAAAACTGCTAGTGCTGGGCCAGGCTGATGCCATGCCCTAGGAGCTTAATATGGGTCCCTCGGGTGTGTGGCAGGGTCCCACATGCTTAAACCATCACCTGTTGCCTCGAACAGTATGTATGGGCAGGAAGTTGCAATAGGAACAGAGCCTGTAGTGGAACCCAGGCACCATCATGTGGGATGTGGGTATCACAAGACACACCAGACCAAATGCATACCCCACTGCTTTAGGTTTTTCCCTCCTCATCTTGGGGCTGCCATTGTGGCCCAGAGGGTTGAGCCATCACCTGCAATGCTGACATTCCAGATGAGCAAAGGTCCCAGTCCTGGCTGCTCTACCTCCCATCCAGCTCCCTGCTAATGAGCTTGGGAAGGTATCCATCATTGGCTAAAATACTTCTGGAACCCATCAGCCAAAGCAGAGAGATGGAGGGGGAAGACAGAAAGAAATCTCCCATGTGCTGACTTCCACCCTTATCTTTATTGCTTTCTGCTGTGACACACCATGGCAGGCAGGAGGACATGGCAAGGTCTGTGGTGGCCTTGCCCACTCGTAGGACACGTGGAGAAAGTGCCTGGCACCCAGCTTCCTCATGGACTGGCTCAAGCTGTTTCAGATATTGAGGGTGGAAGTCAGCACATGGGAGATTTCTTTCTGCCTGTCTTCCCCCTCCATCTCTCTGCTTTGGCTAATGGGTTCCAGAAATATTTTAGCCAATGATGGATCAGGTACTTGGGCTCCTACCGCCCAGGTGGCTTACCTGGATGCAGTTCCAGGTTGCTGTGGAAGGCCTGACTTGCCCCATCAGCCATTTGGCGGGAGAACCATCAGATAGGTCTGTCTCTCTGCCTCACCAGCTCTTGTTGCCTAGGTCCACTTTCAAGTAATGAAGGACATCTTACAAAGAAAACAAAAAAATGTAATATTAACCAAGCTCTCTATGAAAAATCACAGCTTTGTTGACTTGAGATGCAGACAGACAGAATCCAGGGAATCAGAGGAGCCCCCAAACCAGCAATACACACTGGGGTCATGATCAGGTTAAAGCATCACTGAGAACACAGATGAAGACAAATGAAGTCATGAACACACAACATTCAAATGCTGAGAGTGGGGCTAGCCTTGTGGTACATGTGTTGGGCTTCAGCTGGGCACTCGGGGGGCGGCATATGATAGCCCGGGTTCTGCTTCCCATTCAGCTCCCTGCTTGATGGGATGGCAGGGAAAGGTAGCTCAATCAGTTGGGTCCCCACCACCTTCAGCAGTGACAAGCAAGGAGGTCTGGACTTCTGGTATCCACCTAGTCCAGCCCAAATCATTGTGGGCATTAGTGGGATGATCCAATGGATGGAAGATCTCTAACTCTGGCTATCCTCCATCTCTCACTGTCACTCTTTCAACTAAACAAAATAAAACTTGAAAGAAAAAAAAAGACAAGCAGCAAGACAGGTGGACACAGAAGACCGACAGGCATAGAGAATGTCTAGTCTGCTGTTTCCTTCCCCAGTTTCCTAAATTTCTGGTGCTGGGGCAGGCTGAGTCCAGGCCCAGAAGCTTAACCTTGGACTCTCACGTGGGTGGCAGGATCACACATACTGGAACCATCACCCCTTTCCTCCAACTGTGTGTATTGGCAGGAAGCTGGGATTGGGAACAGAACCTGGACTTGCAACTGCAGCAGTTCATAGGATTGCATTCCCAGCTGCCTGGGATCAGATGCAGCTCCTTAATAATGTGCCAGGGGAGGCAGTAGAAGGTGACCCATGTTTTTGGGCCATCCTTCTCACAGAAAGACCAGGAGCATTCCCAGATCCTGGCTTTAGACTGGCCTGACCCAGCCATGGAGGCTGTTTTGGTGTGATCCAGCAGATGTAAGATCTCTCTTTCTTTCTCTGTTTGTCCTTGTCTCTGTGTTCCTCTGCCTTTCCCATAACTAACATACTCCCCAAACCCATCAGTGAAAGCTGAAGGGGACAAACAGACAGAAATCTCCCATGTGCTAATCTCCAAAACTTTGAGGCAGCTATCACTGATCCAGGCTGATGCTGGGCACAAGTCTCTTACTCCAGGAATCCCACATGGGTGACAGGGTCAACACAGCCCTTGCCAACCTCAGTGTGTCTGAGCAGGAAGCTGAAATGGGAGCAATGACTGGAGTGGATCCCAGACACTGCCATGTGGGATGTGGGCATCACAAGACACACCTGAGCTGCTGGCTGGGAAAAATACATACCCCACACTGCAGGGTTTTTCCAACCTCATCTTGGTAGCTGACATTGTAGCCCAGTGGGTTAATCAGCCACCTGCAAGGATGGAATCCCAGATGAGTACAGGTTCTAGGACTGGCTGCTCCACTTCCCATCCAGTTCCCTGCTAATGGGCCATGGAAGACAGCAGGTAATGAATCAGGTTCTGGGGACTCTCCTACCCACGTGGCGGATCTGCGTACAGCCCCAGGGTGCTGTGGAAGGCTTGGCCTGCACAGACAGCCATGTCAAGAGTGAACCAGCAGATGAAATATCTGTCTCTTCCACACCAGTTCTTGCTGCTTAAGTCCACTTTCAGGCAATGCAGGAAGCCCTACAAAGAAAACAAGAAAATAAGCAATGGTAACCAAAATCTCTACCAAAACTACAGCTTTGTTGATTTGAGAGGCAGACAAATAGACAGTAGCCAGAGAATCAGAACTGCCCCAAAGACCAGCAGTATGCACTGGGGTGCCCATCACCTTAAAACACCACTGAGAACAAGTGCAATGTCAAGTGAAGTCATCAGTACACGACTTTCAATGGCTGAGCGTGAGGCTAGCCTTGTGGCTCAGGGGGTTGGGCCTCAGCTGACCATTCCTGCAGAGCACATGGGAACTCAGGTCCTGCTTCCCATGCAGCACTCTGCTCATGAGACTGGGATGGCAGCCCAAGATGGCCCAATCACTTGGACCCCTGCCACCTACAATGGTGACCCAGCATGCAGTTTTAGGCTCCTGGCTTCTACCTGGTAGTGACCAAGCCTTTGCAACCTTTGTGGGTGGTGATCCAGGCAATGGAAGTCCTCCAGCTCTGTCTCTCTATCTCTCACTGACACTCCACCTTCAATTAAACAAAATCAATCTTGAAATCAACAAAGACAAGACAGTGAGGCAGGGGAAACAAACAGATAGAGAGAAATGTCTGATTTGCTGTTTCCCTCCTGAATTTCTGAAACTGGTAGTGCTGATTCAGGGTGACACCATGCCCAGATGGTTAAGCCAAGTCTTTCAGGTGGGTGGCAGAGTCCCAAGTGCTGGAACCACCACCTGATGCCTCCTACATGGTGTGTGGCCAGGAATATAGGATTGGGACCAGAGCCTGGCCTTGCCAACTGTAGCAATGCTGAGGGTTGCACTCCTGGCTGCCTGGGATGTGATTCAGCTCCTTCCTAATGTGCCAGGGAAGGCACACAGGAGACCAGGATGGGGTCCCCGGATCCTGGCTTTATAGTGGCCTGACACAGCCATGGAGGCCGTGTGGTATGTGAAGCACCAGATTGAAAATCTCTTCCTCCTTCTTTCTAGAAATCTCTTTGCCTCTGTGTTCCTCTGCCTTTCCTGTAACTAAAACAATTTCTGAACCATTAGCAAAAGCAGAGACCCCATGGCAGACAGACAGACAAAAGACAGAAATCTCCCATGTGCTGATTTCCCACCCAAACCCTGAAAGAGCCAGTGCTGGCCCAGGCTGAAGCCAGGTGCCAGGCACTTACTCCAGGTGTCCCATGTGGATGGTAGGCCCCCACAGCCCTGGCCATGAACTGCCAGAGTGTGTACAACAGGACACTAGAATGGGAACCGTGACTGTGGTGGAACCCATTGCACTGGCATTTGCAATGCGAGCATCACAAGACACACCTGAACTGTTGGTGGAACCAAGTGCATACCCTATACTGCAGGGTGTTTCAAATCTCACCTTGGGGCTGCTGGCATTGTCCCCAGTGGGTTAAGCCTCTTCCTGCCATGCTGGAATCCCAAATGAGCACAGGTTTCACTCCTGGCTACTCCACTTCCCATCCAGGTCCTTACTAGTGCACCTGGGAAGGCAGCAGGTGATCGATCAGGTACTGGGGGCCCTGCCACCAACTTGGTCCACCTGCATGCAGTTCCAGATTGCTGTGGAAGGCCTGGCCTGCCCCAATAGTCGTTTGCAGAGTGAACCAACAAACAGAAGGTCTGTCTCTTTCTGCCTAATTCCCCTTTCAGGCAACGAAGGGCGTCTCGGCGTCTCGGCCAGTAGGGCCACTGCCTGCAGTACCGGCACCCCATATGGGCACCAGTTTGAGTCCCGGCTGCTCCACTTCCAATCCAGCTCTGTGCTGTGGCCTGGGAAAGCAATAAAAGATGGCCCAAGTCCTTGAGCCCCTGCACCTGCGTGGGAGACCCAGAAGAAGCTCCTGGCTCCTGGCTTTGGATCAGCGCAGTTCCAGCCATTGCAGTCAACTTGGGCGTGAACCAGCAAATGAAAGACCTTTCTCTCTCTCTCTCTCTCTCTCTCTCTCTCTCTCTGCCTCTCCTTCTCTCTCTGTAACTCTTTCATATAAATAAATAAATCTTTTTTAAAAATGAAGGGCATCTTATAAAGAAAACAAACAAATGTCATGATAACCAAAATCTCTAGCAAAACCACAACTTCTTTGACTTGAGATGCGGACAGACAGAAGCCAGAGAAACGGAGCAGCTCCAAACCAGCAACATGCACTGGGGTCCCAATCAGGTTAAAGCATCACTGAGAAAACAGATGAAGACAAATGAATACACAACTTTTAAAGGCTGAGTGAGGGGCTAGCCTTGTGCTGGGCCTCGGCTACCCACTTGGGCACAGTAAACGTGAGCCAGGGTTCTACTTCTTATGAAGCTCCCTGCTAACAGGATGGCAGCCCCAAAATGGCCTAATCACTTGGGTCCCTGCCAAGCACAGTGGGGACCAGCATGTACTTCTGGGCTCTCAGCTTCAGCTAGGTCAACCCCCCATCATTTTGGCAATTTGGTCAGTATTCTAGGGGATGGAAGATCTCCCTGTCTCTCTGTCTCTCCCTCTCTTGAGGTCACTCCACTTTTCAACTAAACACAACAAATCTTGAAAGTAAGAAAGGCAAGGCAGGGAGACAGGAGGACAGAGACAAAGAGACAGAAATAAGTGTCTGGTCTCCGGTATACTTCCATGATTCTGAAACTGCCAGTGCTGGGCCAAGCTGACATCAGGCTCCCAGAGCTTAACGTGAGTCTGTTAGGTGTGTGGCAAGTCCCACATGCTTGAACCATCACCTGCTGCCTCCCACAGTATGTATGAGCAGAGAGCTAGGATTGAGAACAGAGCCTGGACTGGCAACTGCAGCAGTGCAGAGCATTGCAATGCTCTTTTCCAGGATGTGATGTGGCTCCTTTGCTAATGTGCCAGGGAAGGAGGCAGAAGATGGCCCACTTTCTTGGGCTCTGCCACCCACACAGGAGACTGGGATGGGGCTCCCAGATCCTGGGCATTAGGCTATGCTGACCTCGTCAAGAAGCCATTTTTGGTGTGAACCAGTAGATGGAAGATCTCTTTCTCCTTCTCTGTCTGTCCTTGTTTCTGTGTTCCTCTGCTTTTCCCATAACTAAAAGCACTTCTTGAACCCATTAATGAAAGCAGAGAGATGGAGGGGGACAGCAAACAGAAAGAACGAAATCTCCCATGTGCTGCTGATTTCCTCCCTAAATCTCTGAATAAGCTAGCACTGGTTGAAGCTGAAGCTGGCTGCCAAGCGCTCACTTCAGGTGTCACACCAAAGCCCTTGCCATGGACTGTTGTCAACCTCTCTGTACAGGCAGAAAGTTGGATGGGAACAGAGCCTGGAGTGGAACTCAGGCACTACATTGTGGATGTGGGCATCACAAGACACACCTGAACTACTGGCAAGACCAAGTGCATTCTACACATTACAGAGGTTTTTATACCTCACTTTGGGGGCCAGCATTGTTCCCAATGTGTTAAGCTGCTGCCTGCAATGCCAGAATCCCAGATGAGCAACAGGTTCCGGTCCTGAACGCTCCACTTCCAATCCAGGGCCCTACTAATGCACCTGGGAAAACAAAACAGCCAGTGATGGATCAGGTATTGGGGCCCCTGCCACCCACGTGGCCTACCTGGATGCAGTTCCAGGTTTCTGTGGAAGGCTTGAAATGTCATGACATCTCTTTGGGGAATGAATCAGCAGACAGAAGATTGCTCTCTATCTTTGTCCACTTTCAGGCAGTGAAGGATGTCTTACAAAGAAAACAAATGTAATGGTGATCAAAATCTCTACCAAAACTACAAGTTTGTTGATTTAAGAGGCAGACAGACAGACAGAAGCCACAGAAACACAGCAACCCCCAAAGACCAGCAATATGCACTGGGGTTCTGTTCAGGTTAAAGTGTCACTGAGAACACAATGAAGACAAATGCATGCATAGATACATGACTTCCAAAGACTGAGTGTGACCTTGTGGCTCAGGGCATTGGGCCTCAGCTGGCCAATCACACAAGGCATATGGGAGCCCAGGATCTACTTCCTGTACTGTTCCCTGCAGTGACCAGATAGCAGCCCAAGACATCCCAATCACTTGGGCCCCTGCCACCCAAAGCAGGAACCAGCATACAGGTCTGGGCCACTAGCTTCAGGCAGGTCTCGGCACAACCTTTCTGAGTGTTTAGGGGGCAATGCAGGGAATGGAGGATCTCCATGTCTCTCCGTCTCTCCCTCTCTTGGTGTCACTCTACCTTTCAACTTAACAGAATAAAACTTGAAAGCAAAAAAGACAAGGCAAGAAGACAGGCAGACATAGAAGACTGACAGATAGAAAGAATGCCTAGTCTGCTGTTTCTTTCCCCAGTTTCCTAAACTTCTGGTGCTGGACCAGGCTGAGCCTAGGCCCTAGGAGCTTAAGCCAGGACTCCCATTGTGTGGCAGGATCCTAAGTGCTTGAACCATCACCTGCTGCCTCCAAGTGTGTATGGTCAGGAAGCTGGGATTGGGACCAGAACCTGGAATTGCAACTGCAGCAATGCAGAGGGTTGCATTGCCCACTGCCCAGGATCTGACACAACTCCTTGCCAATGTGCCAGGAAAGGCAGCAGAAGATATCCCACATTCTTGGGACATCAGCCTACACAGGACAGTGGGATGGGGTTTCCAGATCCTGGCTTTTTAATGGCCTGACATAGCCATAGAGGTTGTGTGGGGTGTGAACCAGCAGATGGAAGATCGCTTTCTCTTTCTTTCTGTGTCTGTCCTTGTCTCTGTGTTTCTCTGCCTTTCCAGTAACTAAAATACTTCTCAAATACCTTAGCAAAAGCAGAGAGATGAAGAGGGACAGACAGATAGAAAGAAATCTCCCATGTGCTGATTTCCTCCCCAAATCTCTGGGAGAGCTGGCGCTGGTACAGGCTGAAGCGGGGGGCAGATGCTTATTCCAGGTGCCCCACACGGCTGGCAGGGCCAACACAGCCCTTGCCACTTTCTGTTACCAACTTTGGTGTGTTCAAGCAGGACACAGGACTGGAAACAGTGACCAGAGTTGAACAGAGGCACTGCCATGTGGGTTGCAGGCATCACTCCTGAACTGCTGGCCTGACCAAATGCATACCCCACACTTCAGGGTTTTTCCAACCTCATCATGGGGGCTGAAATTGTGGTCCAGTGGGTTAATCTGCTGCTTGCCATGTGGGCATCACAGTTGAGCACAGGTTCCATTCCTGGCTGCTCCACTTCCCATCCAGGGCACTAATAATGGGCCTGGGAAAGCAGCAGGTGATAGATCAGGTACTGAGGCCCCTGCCAACCCTGTGGCATACCTGGTTGCAGTTTCAGGCTCCTATGGAAGGCCTGACCTATCAGAGTCATTTGAGAAGTGAACCAACAGATGGAAGATCTGTCTCTTTCTGCCTCCAAGGCTCTCACTGCCTGATTCCACTTTCAAGCAATAAAGGAAGCCCTACAAAGAAAACAAACAAATGTAATAGTTACAAAACTCTCTACCAAAACCACAGCTATGTCAATTTGAGGTGCAGACTGACTGACAGAAGCCAAACAGTTCAGCCACAAAGACCAGCAATACTCACTGGGAAACCAATTAAGTTAAAGTGTTACTCAGAGCACAGATGAAGACAAATGACTTTCAAAGGCTGAGCGTGGGCTAGCCTTGTGGCTCAGGGTGTTGGTCCTCAGCTGGCCACTCACACAGGGCATATGGGAGCCCAAGTTCAGGTTCCCATACAGCTCCCTGCTAATGGGGCCCTTGCCAAGCACCATGGTGACTTGCATGCAGTTCTGTACTCCTAGCTTTGGCCAGGTCCTATTCCAGTCATTTCAGCTGTTTGGGAGGTAGTTGTGGGGATGAAAGATCTCCATGTGTAGTCTCTCCCTCTCTTGCTGTCACTCCACCTTTCATCTAAACAGAACAAATCTTGAAAGCAAAAAAGGCAAGGCAGGGAGACAGAGGGATACAGACCCTACCTCCAGCTGTTCTCTGGGGCCCTGGCCACCTCTGGCTGCAATGGTGACATAGCCCTGGCAACTGAAACAGCACCATCTGCCCACCAAGAACAGCCCATGGGGCTCAGGCTTTCAGTGAAAGCAGAGAGCCAGAAGGGACAGCAGACAAAAATGTATGACAGGGCCGGCGCCAGTGGCTCACTAGGCTAATCCTCCGCCTTGCGGCGCCGGCACACCAGGTTCTAGTCCCGGTCAGGGCGCCGGATTCTGTCCCGGTTGCCCCTCTTCCAAGCCAGCTCTCTGCTGTGGCCAGGGAGTGCAGTGGAGGATGGCCCAAGTGCTTGGGCCCTGCACCCCATGGGAGACCAGGATAAGTACCTGGCTCCTGCCATCGGATCAGCGCGGTGCGCCGGCTGTAGCGCGCCGGCCGCGGCAGCCATTGGAGGGTGAACCAACGGCAAAAGGAAGACCTTTCTCTCTGTCTCTCTCTCTCTCTCTCACTGTCCACTCTGCCTTTAAAAAAAATGTATGACAGAAATCTCCCATGTGCTGATTTCCTCCCCAGATCTCTGAGAGAGCTGAAGCTGAGCCAGGCTGAAGCTGGGTGCCAGGCTCTTACTCAAGTGTCCCACCATACTCCTTGCCACAGCCTGCTGCCTGCCCCAGTGTACACGAGCAGGAAGCTGGAATGGGAACGGAGTGTGGAGTGGATCCCAGGCACTGCCATGTGCGATGTGGGCATCACAAGACACACCTGAGCTGCCAGCTGGGACAAATGCATACCCCACACTGCAGGTTCTTCCAACCTCATCTTGGGGGCTAGATTGGTGGCCCACTGAGTTAAGCCTCTTCCAGCAATACCGGCATCTCAAATGAGCAAAGGTCCCATTCCCAGGTGCTCCACCTCCCATCCAGCTCCCTGTTAAGGCAACTGGGAAAGAAGCAAGTGTTGAATAAGGTACTCGGGCCCCTGCTACTCACGTGGCTGACTTGGCTGAAGTTCCAGGTTCCTGAGGAAGGCCTGGCCTTCCCCAACAGTCATTTAGGGAGTGAACCAACAGGCAGATGTGTCTCTCTCTACTTTGCTGGCCCTCGCTGCCTCAGTCAGCTGTTAGGCAACGAAGAACATCTTACAAAGAAAACAAGAAAACAAACAAATGTAATGGTAACCAAAATAAGCAACAGAACCACAACTTTGTTATTTGAGAGGTGGACAGACAGAAAGAAGCCAAGAGAAACACAGCAGCCCAAAGACCAGCAATACGCACTGGGTCCCGATCGGGTTAAAGCATCATTGAGAGCACAGATGAAGACAAATGAGGCCATGAATACACAAGCTTCAAAGGCTGAACTTAGGGCTAGCCTTGTGGCTCAGGGCGTTGGGCCTGAGCTGCCACTTGTGTGGGGCATACAGGAGCCCAGGTTCTGGTTTCCATACAGGTCCTTGCTAATGTACCTGGGATGGCAGCTCAGGACAGCCTAATCACTGTGACCCCTGCCACCCACAGCAGTGACCAGCATGCAGGTCTGGGCTCCGGGATTCAGTCAGGTGCCACAGCCTTTGTGGCCATTAGTGGGGTGATCCAGCAGATGGAAGATCTCCATGTCTCTCTGTCTCTCCCTCTCTCGCTGTCACTCTGTTTTCAACTAAACAAAATAAAACTTGAAAGCAAAAAGACAAGGCCAAGAGATAGGTAAACACAGAGAAACAGAAAGACAGATAAATCTGGTCTGCTGTTTTCCTCTCCAGTTTCTGAAACTGGTAGTGCTGGGTCAGGCTGATACCATGCCCAGAACTTACCCCAGTCTCCAAGGTGTGTGGCAAGGTCCCAGGTACTTGAACCATCACCTGCTGCCTCCCACAGTGTAGTCTCTCTCTGGCTCGCTGGCTCTTCTAACCTTGTGGGATGGGGTGTTGGGCCTCAGCAGGCCTCTTTTGTGGTGCATACAGGATCCCAGGTTCTGCTTTCCATGCAGCTGCCTACTAATGTACCTGGGATGGCAGCCTATGACAGCACAATCACTTATGACCCTGCCACCCACAGCAGGGACCAGCATGCAGTTCTGGGCTCCCAGCTTAAGCCATGTACTTACCCAGTCATCTCAGCAGTTTTGGGGTTATTCCAGGGGATGGAAGATCTCTGTGTCTCTGTATCTGCCTCTCTCATTGTCATTCCATCTTTCACCTAAACACAACAAATCTTGAAAGCAAGAAAGATAAGGCAGGGAGACAGGTGGACACAAACAGACATAATGTCTGCTTTGCTATTTTCCGTCCCAAATGATGAAACTGCTATTGCTTGGCCAGGCTGACACCAGACCAAATACATACCTCTATGTACACAACTTTAGGTTTTTCCAACCTCATCTTGGGGGCTGCAACTATGGCCCAGCTGGTTAAGCCACCACCTGCGATGCCAGCATCCCAGATGAGCACAGGTTCTAGTCATGGCTGTTCCACCTCCCATCCAAGTCCCTAGTAATGAGCCTGGGAAGGCAGCAGATGATGGATCAGGTACTTGAGACCCTGCCACCCACATGGCCTACCTAGATGCAGTTCCAGGTTGCTGGGGAAGGCCTGGACAGCCCCAACAGCCATTTGGGTAGCGAACCAACAGATGGAAGATCTGTCTCTCTCCGCATCACTGGCTCTCACTGCCTCAGTCTGCTTTCAGGCAATGAAGGAAGTCTTTCTAAGAAAACAAACAAACAAACAAACAAACAAACAAAAAACAAATATAATGGTACCAAAATCTATACCAAAACCACAGCTGTGTTGATTTGAGAGGCAGACAGACAGAGAAGCCAGAGAATCAGGGCAGCCCCAAAGACCAGTAATGTGCACTGGGATCCTGATCACATTACAGCACCACCGAGAACACAGATGAAGACAAGCCAAGTCATGAATACACCACTTTCAGAGGCTGAGCATGGGATTAGCCTTGTGGCACAGGGTGTTGGGCCTCAGCTTGACCTGAGATGCCAGCCCATGACGACTCAATCACATGGACCCCTGCCACTCACCGCAAGGAACAGCATGCAGTTCTGGGCTCCTGGCTTTGGCCAGGCCCTGCCACAGCCTTTGTGACTATTAAGGGGGTGGTCCACAAGATGGAAGATCTCTATGTCTCTCTGTCTTTCCATCTCTTGCTGTCACTCCACCTCCAACTAAACAAACAAGTCTTGAAAGCAAAAAAAGACAAGGCAAGGAGACCAGCAGTCACAGACAGACAGATGTAAATGTCTGCTCTGCTGTTTCCCTCCCCAAATTCAGTAACTGCTAGTGCTGAGCAACACTGAAGCCAGTTCCCCAGAGATTAATCCTGTTTCCCCAGGTGTGTGGCAGGGTCCCACCTACTTGAACGATCACCTGCTGCCTCCCACAGCATGTATGGGCAGCAAGCTAGGATTGAGAACAGAGCCTGGACTGGCAACTGCAAGTGCAACTGCAGCAATGCAGAGGGTTGCATTGCTGGCTGCCTAGGAACTAATGCAGCACCTTGCTAATGTGTCTGGGAAGATAGTAGAAGATGGCCCATGTCTCGGGCCATCTGGCCCACAAGACAGGAAATCATAACATGGGAGCACCTGGTGCTTGGCTTCAGCCTGGAGCAGCACTGGCTATTTCAGAGATTTGGTGTGGAAATCACCATATGGAAGATATCTTTCTGTCTATCTGTCCCCCTCTGGCTCTCTGCTTTTGCTAATTGGGTTTGGGACATATTTTAATTGTGGGGAAGGCAGAGGAGCATGGAGACAAGGGAAGACAGAGAGCGAAGGAGAAAGAGATCTTCCATTTGCTGGTTCACACCACAAACGGCTTCCTTGGCTGGTCAGGCCAGTCTAAAGCCAGGATCTGAGAACTCTACCCCAGTGTCCCATGTGAGTGGGAGGGCCCAAGGCATGCCCCATCTTTGGTTGCCTTCGCTGGAGCATTAGCAAAGAGCTGCATCAGATCCTGGGCAGCCGGCACTGTAATCTTGCAGTTACAAGTCCAGGCTCTGCTCCCAATCCCAGCTTCCTGTCCATACACACTTGGAGGCAGCAGGTGATGGTGTAAGCATATGGAACCCTGCCACACAGCTGGGAGATCTGGGTGAAGCTCCAGGGGCCTGGCATCAGCCTGGCCCAGCATGAGCAGTTTCAGAAACTGGGAGGGAAACAACAGACCAGACATTTTTATCTTCCTGTATCCACTTGTCTCTCTGCCTTTTCTTTTTCATTGTAGATTTATTTTGTTTAGTTAAACAGTACACTGACATGTTGAGAGGGAGAGACAGAAAGAAGGAGATCTTCCATCCCCGGATCACTCCCCAGTGTGCCACAAATGCTGAGGCAGGACCAGGCCAACATCAGGAGGCCAGGACTGCATGCTGGTCCTCAGTGCGGTTGGCAGGGGCCCAAGTGATTGGGCCATCTTGGGTTGCAATCTCGGGCACATTAGCAGGGAGCCTTATGGGAAGCAGAGCCGGGGCTCCTGTATGCCCCATGTGAGTAACCGGATTAGGCCCTCCACCCCATACCACAAGGCTAGCCCCACTCTTAGCCTTTAAAATAATTAATTAATTACTTAATTTTAGTTAATATATGTTCACTAGTTAAGCTTTAATTTGCCGGGACCCAATGTATATTTCTGGCCTTTGGAAAAATCAGCAGACAGAAGAGCTCCTGTGTTTTTATCTGTTCTGTCTTTCTGCTCCTCAAATAAACATCCCTATCATTTTTGCAAGGACTGTATTATTCTTGCATTTGACTCTGTATTTAAGAGTTAATTATGTGAAAGCAAAGTTATGAATCAAATGATGGAGCAACAGACAGAGATCTTTTATCTCCTGACTCTGCCCTCAACTGTCCAGAGTTCTTAGGACTGGGTCAGGTGTTCACAAGGACCCAGAAACTGCATCCTGGTCTCCCTGTGGATGTCAGGGGCCAAAGGACTTGGATTGTCTTATGCTACCTTCCCAGGTATATTAGCAGAGACCTGGATAGTTTTAGAAAAGCCAGGAAAACCAGTGCTTGTATTGGAGATCAGCATTTTAGGTGGAGGTGTTTATTGTTTCTGCTACAAATGGCCCTGTGCAGTGGGGCAGTAGGGGAGTCTTAGCTACTATTTCAAATACCTGCCTTGGTGTCCCTCCTTCTGTATTCATTCTTTGTTGTCTTGATACAAATTTAGAAGCATTCATCAGATGCCTCCCAGCTCCAGTTTTTCAGAACACTTCTTTAATCTTCCATCATGACTGCATCCATTTCAGGTTTCTGTATTCTTTTCTAAATAGATTTAATAACATATGGGGCCGGCTCACTTGGTTAATCCTCTGCCTGAGGCACCAGCATCCCATATGGGCACCGGGTTCTAGTCTCGGTTGCCCCTCTTCCAGTCCAGCTCTCTGCTGTGACCTGGGAGGGCAGTGGAGGATGGCCCAAGTGTTTGGGTCCCTGCACCCACATGGGAGACTGGGAGGAAGCACCCGGCTCCTGGCTTTGGATCGGCATGCAGCGCCGGCCGTAGTGGCCCTTAGGGGAGTGAACCAACGGAAGGAAGACCTTTCTCTCTGTCTCTCTCTTTCTCACTGTCTATAACTCTACCTGTCAAATAAAAACAATAGATTTAATAACATTAAAATATCTTAATTATTTTCTCTCTTTCTTTTGGACCTTTATAAATCTACTGAAATTTGACTTTGGTGCTTTTTTATGACTCCATACCTTCTAGCATGTACTGTTTGTCTCTGGAAATCGGGTGATTCTGTGCTCCAGAATACCAACATATTGAAACACTTTGTTTTTTTCACAGCGGTGGAATTAAAGGGACAGGATGTTTGTGAACCTAATAAGTACCCTAGAACCCTAAGGCCTCAAGAGAAATGAAGGTTAGAGTCAAATTCTAGGAGCTGAGATCCCTTGATCACTCATTGGACCAAAGACATGCAAATCTTTACTCTCAGCAAATGAGCTTAAAGTTCACTAGCAAGGCACTTGGTCCTTTGTTGACCCTTCTAGGCTCCACCCCCCATAATCTGCATATCAGAATCTTTCCCACTCTGTGGGCTGCCATTTCAAGTTCCCCTTGGGCTGCTGTGCTGTCCTCCCTGTCTCTCCTGACCCTCCTGCTTCAGGGCCCATTCAGGCAGCATCACAGAGCCTGTGCTCTGTGTGATCACCCTCTGTGTCATCACCGGCCCTGCCACTCCTACTGCCTGCAGCCGGCTCAGCTCTCAGATGCCTCCTCACCTTCTCCACAGTTAGGTAGGCAGCTACCAGTCTGGCTGCTTTTGTTGCCACACTGCTTTATTGCAACTTTACTTGATATCTGATTGATAATGGCGCCTACAGGGTCCTCTGTGGAGGAGCCTGTACAGCCTCCAGAAAACCAGAACCAAGCTGGTGGAGAAGGTGGTCCAGATTCTTTGTCTTTTGAAGTTGGGGTGGCCCCTGATGATTGGGCAATCACACTCACTGGGTCTACAGTCCCTATGGTTTTTCATGGTGTTGTGCAAGCATTCTGGGAGGAAGAGGAAGAGGGGGAGGAAGCCTGGCCTGAGGTTGAGGAGTACAGAAATGTACACCTAGATGATGAGGAGGTAGAGGAGGAGATAGAGGATTTGGAAGGGGAATACAAGGGAGAAAATGGTGAGGAGGAAGAAAATGTTGAGACAGTGAATGAAGAGGACAGCCAGGAGGAGCAGGTAAACGAAAGCAATGTGGGAGAGGAGGAGACCTTCAGGAAGGAAGAGGATGATCAAGAAGTTTTCAGCATCCGTGAGTTACCTATGGTGGTGTTTCAGTCTCTCTTCTGGAATCTGGTCTATACCCTTACACACTGATCTCTTCTAATGCTTGTATCTTCACCCCTTGTGGCCATATGGTGTTCTGGCTGTTCTCTCCCATACCCGAGGACCCAGGAGAGGGACCTAAGCTCTGGAAATGGGAGGACCCAGGATCCATTTGTGTTAGGTGATTAAGTAATGAGGCATTGCTCTCAAAAAACTTATGGCACAATGTGTCCAAGTTCAAGTCTATAAAGACCTTTACTATCTTGAGAAAGTATAGGCTTCTTGCTACCAAGCTCTGTTGGTACTGACTATAAACTGGGATTCTTTTCTGAGAAATATTGTCCTAAATTCTTTATTATCTCTCACTATTTTTGAAGCAAGGGATGAAGAAGCCCAAGAAGTTGGCCCCAACAAGAAGAAGGAGGGCGAAAGCAGTTCCTCAGAAGAAGGACCTGAAAATGATCAAGATAAGGCATAAAGAAGTCCCTAGAATCCAGGTATTTCCATATAGCTTTGTATGTCACCCAACCATTCCTTAAAATGCATTTTTTAATTTTCCTGGCAAACACAAAAATTGTTAAAAAATTAGCTCTAAAATCCAGTTAAATGTTAGTAATGTACTTGTGTACTAGATAGTGTAGAGTGCAGTATGTTGTTCATTTATATATTAGTTCATTTTCTGTTACTATTAGAAAATTTTTTTTTATAACTCTAAAGAAAAGCAGTTTATTTAGCTCACTTTTCTGGATATTCAAAGCATGGTGCCAGCATCAACTCAGCTCTGGTGAGGACATCATAGTGAATGACATCACAATCGCAGGTGTGCCTGCAAGAGGGAGATATCACATCATCAGGCAAGCAGCCAACAAGCAAGGAGAGCCTGTTTTTATAACATCTAGCACTTGCAAGAACTAACTCAGGATCCCACAAGAACTAACTTCCCTTTTCTAAAGGCAGGACTTCTAATTGACTTTCTACTAGGCTCCACCTCTTAAAGATCCCACTACCTCCACCCCAGACGGCCACACTGAGGCCCAAGCCCACAACACATGAACTTTTGGGGGATACACTTAAACCATGTGAAAGCCTTATCAATTTATATTCTTTGGGCTGTAGCTAAAGACTTCTATACAGGTGGGAAATCTACCAGACCTAGTAGCTAAGACATATTTGTTTAGATAGAGTACAGTTAAATGAAGCAAGTGGTAAAGCAACTGGAACATACATTAGCTGGGGTTTCATCATTTAGATATAGAAATACAGTCTCTTTTAGTAACATACAATGCCTTTGAGAATATAACTACTCACAGAGATGTATTAACAATTTCAGATTGGACCACAATTAATGATTGATAGCTAAGTATTCACTCAGTTTTAAATTTTTGTATTTCATGTTTCAGTAAAAAGAAAAGTAGTTATAGAAAGATTATTGTTTCTCACTATTTTATAATTATGTTAACTTACATATCTTATGTATCTTATGTATCCTTGTCTTTCTTTTTTTCATTCTCCTTTTACAGATAAGGACCAGTGGATCAGGGATGTTAAGAGATTATGGTTTATACATAGAGTATAAGCTTCTTAAAGTTAGATACACTTAAATCCCAGTATGTTCTTTCAAAACAAAAAGAAAAATGTGTTGTTTGGAAAGTGGGGAGTGAAGTATCTATGATCAGAGAATTGAAGACAGATGTTACACAAGCATGATGGTTTGGGTTCTAAGTGGAAAATGTTGATTTCTCCTGTTGAGACAACAAATAGCAAAGACACTGTTTTCATAGATTTAGAAATACATTGGTGTATGCTAATAGTGTACAATTATCAATTATCTCTTCTTTTATCTTACAGCTTGAAGAGATGAAGAAAGAAAAAAACTGATTGCAAAACATTGACAAAACTGTTCTTTAAACCTGAACTAAGTAACATCCATTAATAGCTTATCTTCTATACTTTTCAGATGTATCTCACATCATTTCTTCAGTCTCAAAATAAAAGCTGTTTGAAATGATAAGCTGCAGATATGTTTGTACAAATAACATTGACTCAGTCAATCATTGTATCTTTTGGTTTTGGCCATTGAAAGGGATCACTTTCAACCACAATTTAAGCTCCTCAAATTAATTACAATGTCAACATATAAACAATTTATACAAACAAGAGGTGGAGTTCTATCCCTTGCATTTTATTGAAAGAAATTGATGAATGACCCAACTTCCCTTAAGGCCAGGTGATACTACAGGGCTGCCTTGGGCGAGGAGTGTCAGCATCACCTGGGAACTTCTTATACATGTAATACCCAGGCCCATTCCAGACATACTAAATTAGAAATTATGTCTGTGGCTTGTCAACATGTGTTTTGCAAGTCTTTCTGATGACTCTTAAGTACACCAAAATTTGGGAACCATGGGTTTAGAGCAGGGAGAGGAAAGTTTTGAACTTTACCAATGTTAATTCACTGACTTGAGATTATTTTAGGTAAACTGAACAAAACAATAAAGGCTGGACAGAGGACAAGACTAGAACATCAGGGGTTGGGAACAGAGAAAGACCTTCTGGAGGGGCCAAGATTTAATGATAGTGGTAGAAAAAAGCAGATAAGAGGGAAAAAGCTAGTTCCAGAAGAATGTATGTTTAGCAATACCATGTATATGAAGTTTAATAATACATAAAGCAAGTACTGACTATAGACTTATCTAGCATAGTAAAATGCATGCATAGAAGGGCAGTAGCATGCATATATAGCATGCAGAAAGGCATATACAAGAATTATAAGCACCTCATTTAGGTCAGTAGTTATGTTTTGTGGATAGACAGGGAAGAAGATTCAGTTGGGGAGAACACTCGCAGTTTTGTACGTCTGTCATAACAAATTACCACATGTGTACTCTCACCATTCAGAAGGCTCCAAAGTCTGAAATGGAGGCACCAGCACAGTAACACTCACCACACAGCTCTAGAGGAGACCCTTCCATTCTTGTTCCAGATTTGGTGGCTCCCAGCATTGTTTGACTTGTGGTAGCAGAACTTGAGTCTTCATCTCATTTTACATACGACCTTCTTCCTTGTGCCTTTCCCTCTCCTTTCTCTCATAAGAACACCAGTAGTTGGATTTCAAGGTCATCCAAAATCCAAGATGATTTCATCTTGAGTTCCTTAACTGAATTATACCTGCAAAGACCCTATTTTGAAATCAGGCAGTATTCACCATTACCAGGGATTACAATTTTGGCATTTCCTTTTTGCACCATGATGTTCCACATATTACAAGGAAATGGGGCTCAGCGTTACTCATGATATTTTACCTATTAAGCAATATGGTTGGGACATGATACAGGACAGATAGTGCTCCTTATCTATGGGCTAAACATCTATGGATTCAATCAAATGCTAGTTGAAAATATTTGAAAAAGCTGCATCCATACTGAACGGATATTGATTTTTTTCTTATTCTCTATAGCAGTATAGAAATATAAAACTATTTCCATAGTATTTACATTGTACTAGCTGTTACACGTAATCTAGAGATGCTTTAAAGTACATGTGAGGTGAGAGTATTTCAGGTACGGAAAGCCAAGACACTGTGGCAAAAAAAAAAAAAAATGACCTAAATGAAAGATCTCTGTGAGTGAGATCCCAGTGGAAAGAACGGATCATCAAAGAAGGAGGTACCTTTCTTTGAAGGGAGGAGAGAACTTCTGCTTTGATTATGGCCTTATTTAAATAAGGTCAGAGTTTGTGAACTCAAGAGGCTTCCATAGCCTTGGCAGCTCATGACAAGAGCCTCGGGTGATTACTGATGTCATAAATAAGAGTGTCCATTGTTAAATAAACAACAGAAGTCACTGGGCACTTACTCCCCATGTAGGATCTCTGTCCTTAATGTGTTGTACTATGCAAATTAACAGTAAAACTAGTATTCAAACAGTACTTCATACTTTGTGTGTCTGTGTGGGTGCAATCTGTTGAAATCTTTACTTAGTATATATTAAGTTGATCTTCTGTATATAAAGATAATTAAAAATGAATCTTAATGAAGAATGGGATGGGAGAGGGAGTAGGAGATGGGATGGTTTGTGGGTGGGAGGGAGGTTATAGGAGCAAAAAATGCTGTAATCCAAAAGTTGTACTTTTGAAATTTATATTTATTGAATAAAAGAAAAAATAAAGTACATGGGACTACTGTGTAAGTTATATGCAAATATTGCATTTTGTAAATAGGACATGAGCATGCATGTATGGGGGAGCTGTCCTAAAACCAATGTTCCATAGATAATGAAAGACAACTGTATTCTCTACATCTTTTTAATGTGGGCATGGAATATTTCCAATAAAAATGACAGAAAAAAAGAGGAAACAGAGAACAGGGGCCTAATATCTAGTAGTCATTTGAATAAAATTAAAATTGACCAGAATAGAGACCAAGGAAACTTGAAACGCTGGGATTTTATTTTGTATTTGTTGAAGTTTTTATTTAGCAGTCATTAAACCTCTGACTACAATGTAAATTCAAAATGTTATTTCAAAAATATTAAACATAACATTTTAGAAATACAAAGAAAAAAGAAAAGCATTTTTAAAAATAATAAAGGCCAGGGATTTAGTAGTAGAAGACTATTTTGGGGGCCAGCGTTGTGGCACAGCAGGTTAAGCCGCTGCCTGCTACACCTACTTGCCATATTGGGGGGTCTTTTCCAGTCCCGCTGTTCCACATCCAATCTAGCTCCCTGCTAACACTCCTAGGAAAGCAGCAGAAGATGGCCTGAGTACTTGGGCTTCTGCCTTCACATGGGAAACCCATATAGCATTCCAGGGTCCTGGCTTTGGCCTGGATCACCCCTGGCCATTGTGGCCATTTGGGGGAGTGAACAAGCAGATGGAAGATCGATCTCTCTTTCAAATAAATAAATAAATCTTTTTTTTAAAAGATTTTCATAAGACTGAATAGTTGCTCTCTAGTTAGCATTAATACATTTCTCCAAAGTTCAAAGCACTATTGTTCTTTATAATGCTCAATTAGTATTAAAATGAAATAAAAGTGATGCATGTGGGGCAGCGATTGTGGCACATGGAGCTAAGCCATCATTTGCCATGCTGGCATCCCATATAGGAGTGTCAGTTCAAGTACCAGCTGCTCCACTTCTGATCATGCTCCCTGCTAATGTGCCCCTGGACCAGCTCTGGCTGCTGCAGCCATTTAGGAGAGCAAACCAGTGAACAGAAGACTTTTCTTTCTCTGTCTCTCCCTCTATCTATCATTCTTCCTTTCAAATAAATAAATCTTTCTCTCCTGAGAAAAGTGCACTCACTGTGACCTCTACTGATTCTCCCAGATACAGTTTTTGTAAAAAGTCAACACATTTCATGTAAAGATGCTTAAGTCAGTGATCTATTTCACATTCAGCCTTTCCCCTGTCTTGACTGGAGATCCTTATTTCTCAAGACTGTGGTGTTTCTTTCTCTGTCCCTGATAATATTATCAACAACATCAGGGGTGGCATGGAGACAGGCTAATTTGGTCTACTCAGGCCCACTGACTTTCTCCATGTCTGTTCATTATCCTTTCGAAATTATATTCTCCTCAACATTTAAATCAATCTTTTCTGAAACAGCATGCTTTCTTTTTGAGGTGGGACAGTAGGCAAGTTAATAATTTTGGTTTGTGTAATAAAAGGAATTTATTAGTATCACTTTTGTGAAACATGACATTTCTTAATTCATTTGCTATATATTTTTTCTAAAATAGTTTTAAAATTTACAAAGTATGGTTTTTGTAGTATAACCTGCTTTATTTCTCCATAAATTAGAACAACTCTACATTTGAGGTTCTTGGCTTAGTGTGACTCAATACAACAGAGTCTTAGTTCACTCAGGCCATCCTAGGGAGGCTGTTCTTTTCAATTCTGTCATGGTTGCCTCTCAGATATATCCCTCTGTTGCATTAATTCTTTGAAGGCTCAATGTGAACTTGGCAGTGTTCATTAAACATGTTCCTGCTCCTGTTTATAACACTTCAGCTTCAGTTGTCTGGTCTGACTGTATCTATCTGAACTTTATATCTTTTTTACTAACTAGCTTTATGAATATTAAAATGTCTAAGTTATTTTCTGTCTCTCATCATTTTTAAGATCTGAGTTAAACAACTGCATTATGACTCTGTCCCTGCTGGCATGAACCATCTCAGGGAGTTATCAGGGAATAGGTTACTATGCTGCACTGTGGGGCTCCAGTACATTTGAATATTATGGTTTTACTGACAATGCCGGGATTAATAATTCTGTATTTTTATAAGTCTAAAGTAATAATTACTCTATTTTGTATAGTCCTAAAAGATTGTCCAGGACCCTAAGAACTTGAACATTAGAGAGATTTTTTTTAAAAGAAGACATTTATAGGAAGGCAATGTGACAGAGGGGGAGAGAGGAAAAGAGAGAGAGACACAGACATAGAGATATTTCTTCTGCTGGTTCACTCACCAAATGGCCACAACAGCCAGGGCTGGAGCAGTTCAAAGCCAGGAAGGGCTCTGGAATTTCATCCAGGTCTCCCACATGGGTACCGGAGCTCAGGTCGTTAAGCCATCTCCTATGGCTTTCTCAAGGACATTAACAGAGAGCAGCCAGGACTCAAACTGGAGCCGACATCGTGGGAAATGGAATAAGTCGTTGGGCCACAACAGACTGGAGAGATGGTTCTGAACCGTCAGAGATCTTACTGATCACTCATTGGGCATAAAGAATGTCAATCACTACTCTCAGCCAATGAGGTTAAAGCTCTCCAAGAAGACAAACGACCTTTTGTTGACTGTTCCAGGTTCCGCCCCACACTCAAATCATTCCTTCTTGTGCGTGGTTGTTTGAGGCACAGCCTTGGTAGGTTGCCCTTCAGGCCACGGGGCCTCCTCAGGCACCATCGCAGCCTGTTGTCCCCCATGCAATGATTTTTTTCTGCCCTGCCCACTGCCTCGAAGGCCCTGCTGCCAACGGACTCCCCTCCCCTTAGTAACAGTTATCCGGGCAACCACTATCTTCGGCCAAAGTTGTTGCTGCGGCTCTATCTCAGGACACAACTGAGGTCCTCACTGGTGCTTCTTACTTGCATGACTGCCACTGAGGAGCAAGACTCAACCTTAGGTGGCGAGGACAGAGCTGGTGGCTGGATGGGACAGAACCACAGACAAACTGGTCCTTAATGGGGCCTACAGAATAGTCAGATGACTTTCCCAGGGCTGCAGCCTTTCTGGACAGTCGTGGGAGCCTTTAAGGAAGAAGAGAGTGGACAGGAGGAAGAATGAAGAGCAGGGGAGGGATCAGCGATATGTAATCAGGAGAGCAGGAGGAGGACAATGAGGAGGGACAGGAATATGAAGATGAGGAACGGGAAGAAGAAAAGGAGGCCTGTAGTGTCAATGAAGAAATTGACTAAGGGAAGATGAGCACAAGGGATAGAGGAGGATCCAGAAGGCCACGGTGCACGTGAATCCCTATGGCAGAATTTCAGTTATATGCACATTTCAGTTATAGGAAAAGGCTTAATGGGAGCTATTCCATTCACTTCTATGCCATTGCCACCTGTGGTGAGACACCATCCCCAGAACCCAAGGGCCAGGGAGAGGGATGACTTTGCAAAGGGAATAAAGAAGTGGGTGTGTGAATATCCTGGCAAGCAGGGTTGCATTGTTAGTCTGAGGAACCCAAGGAAGCCATGATCCAGGAAGGAGGGCAAGTGTGACTGATGTGGCTGTGTTCTATGAGGTGGGAGCTTGTGCACCTAAGGGAGACAAGTAGCCACCATGTCCTCAGGCCCTTTGCAGCATCTGTTGGTGCAGCTCAGTTACTTGCAAGCCATGCTTAGTGCTTGCCTGTCTGGCCTGGTTAAGTGTCAGTTAGTGCTCTAGAGAAAATTTTGACCCCACTAATATGCCCAAGTAAAAGCCTGATTCTATAAAGACCTTCTAAAATGTTAATCCTGGTGTATATATAATATATATATGGAATATATATATGGAATTTTCCTTACAATAGAATACTATAGTCAAAATACAATAAATAGTTTTCAGATAGGGCTGTAGCAGTGGTTTTTATTTTTTTAGATGTCTCATGAGAATTTTATATATGTTAATGCATAATAAAGCTGAAACAAGATTATTTTCCATTTGGAATTTTTGTATAGTTTAAAAATGCTTCTATATTCTTTGTTGGCATTATGCTGCTGCAAAACTTTAGTGAAGAGTTCATATATAGCTAAACTGTTGTGCTAAGAAATGAATAAATCTTTCATTCTTAACATTCGTAATTCTAAATAAATTGATCTATGAATTTTTTTAAAAGACCTTTGCAGAACTGAGACAGTGTAGATTGCTTCCTGCCAACTTGTATTCAATAAGAGATATGAGACAGTCAATGCAATGTATGAGCCCAAAGAAGATCAGTGCCCATGGCAAGCAGGTGTCCAGGAAGGGCTTAGAAGGAAATGGGAAGAGACCCTGAAGGCAAAGGGTAAACAAATGGCCTACACTGCTTTGGGTTCACAGTTTAAAAAATGTAGATTCTTGGTAGGATAACCTTGAACAATATAAAAATTGAATTTTCAGGGATTGAAGAACCAATGAGCTTCACCACACAATTTGTTAGTCAAATGAGTTATTTTCCAAGGAAATTCTGACAAAAGCAGACTTAATGCGACCAAACCCAGATGATTCAGATCCCTTCTTCTTCCAGAGGCAGAAATAATCAGCAGCAGAGCGTGTCTGATCTATTGAAGGGGGTGGGGGGTGTCTCTGGGAAAACCATCAGGCAGCAGAAATGTGAGGGCTGTGGAGGTGATTTTACCACCTAGTAGGAATATGAGCAGCTATTTATTTATTTATTTATTTTATCTGTTTCTATGTTCCTAAGGGTAGAGAACTCGGTATTTCTAGATATAAATTGAAATTTTTTTCCTCAAAAGTCCTATTCCCAAGGTCTGTATCATTCTTCACTAATGATGCAATTGAACAGGTTTGAAAACTTTGCTTATGAAGCCCAGCTAGTTAGATGTGAAGAGGAGAAAGAAAAGGAAAATGAAGAAACCAAATAAACACTTGAAATAGGAGGCTACTTCAAAAAGTTCATGGAAAATGGAATTAAAAAATAAGTTTGCTATGATGCAAACATTTTGAAATTCATCCATAGGTTTTTTTCACAATACACATTTTTACATATCCTTGATATGCATGGATTTCAAAAATGTTTTGAAATTTTTTCATGTTTTAAGTTCATTTTTCCACCTTTTGAAGCACCCTTGAAGATACAAACTTAGAAGAAGAAAGCCTGGGAGGAACTGTTTTGGGTATTATCACTCAACCACTCCGGACATGTACATTTTATGTCTTTATAATTTCTTCAGTAAACCATTTTTTAAAAGAGTTATTTAGGCCAGTGCCGAGGCTCAATAGGCAAATCCTCCACCTGCGGCACTAGCACCCCGTGTTCTAGTCCCAGTCGGGCACCGGATTCTGTCCTGGTTGCTCCTCTTCCAGTCCAGCTCTCTGCTGTGGCCCAGGTCCTTGGGCCCTGCACCTGTCTGGGAGACCAGGAGGAAGCACCTGGCTCCTGCCTTCGGATCAGCGCGGTGTACTGGCCACAGCACGCCGGCCTCAGCGGCCATTGGGAGGTGAACCAATGGTAAAGGAAGACCTTTCTCTCTGTCTCTCTCTCTCACTGTCCACTCTGCCTGTCAAAAAAAAGATTTATTTATTTATTTGAAAGTCAGAGTTACACACAGAGAAAAGAGGCAGAGAGAGAGAGAGGTCTTCCATCTGCTGGTTCACTCTCCAATGCCACAACAGCCGGAGCTGCACTGATCCAAAGCCAGGAGTCAAGAGCTTCTTCTAGGTCTCCCACGTGGGTGCAGGGCCCCAAGGACTTGAGCTATCTTCTACTGCTTTCTCAGGCCATAGCAGAGAGCTGGATCAGAAGTGGAGCAGCCAGGACTAGAACCGGTGCCCATATGGGATGCCATCATTGCAGGTGCTGGCCTTACCAGCTACACCACAACGATGGCCCCTCAGTAAACTATTTTTTAAAATTTAGTTTCATTAACCGTGTGTGTGTGTGTGTGTGTGTGTGCTACATAATATAGAATGCATCTCACAGCCACAATTCCTTTATGCTGTAAAGACTTCTACATGAAAGAAATTTAAAGGATCTTATAACCAAGACAAATATTTGCTTATAATATAGCTACCAGAACAAGTGGATAAAGTGACTTGGAACATAAACTAGATAGGCCTGCATCATTTGGTGTCTATGGGAATATGATCTCTGTATTAACTAGGAGTAAATGATTTTTTTTAATTTATTCTTTTTTTTTTTTTACAGGCAGAGTGGACAGTGAGAGAGAGAGAAAGGTCTTCCTTTGCCATTGGTTCACCCTCCAATGGCCGCCGCGGCCAGCGCGCTGCAGCTGGCGCACTGCGCCTATCTGAAGGCAGGAGCCAGGTGCTTATCCTGGTCTCCCATGGGGTGCAGGGCCCAAGCACTTGGGCCATCCTCCACTGCACTCCTGGGCCATAGCAGAGAGCAGGCCTGGAAGAGGGGCAACCGGGACAGAATCCGGCGCCCCGACCGGGACTAGAACCTGGTGTGCCAGCACCGATAGGCAGGGGATTATCCTATTGAGCCGTGGCGCCGGCTAGGAGTAAATGATTTTTAAATGAAACTACTCAGGGCCAGCACTGTGGCATAGCAGGTAAAGCTACAGCCTGCAGTGCCAGCATCCCATATGGGCACTGGTTCAAGTCCTGGCTGCTCCACTTCCGATCCAGCTCTCTGCTAATGCCTGGGAAAGCAGTGGAAGATGGCCCAAGTCCTTGGGCCCCTGCACCCACATGGGAGACTCAGAAGAAGCTGCTGGCTTCTGGCTTCGAATTGGCCCAGCTCTGGCCATTCTCTGGCCATTGTGGCCATCTGGAGAGTGAACCAGCAGACGGAAGACTGACTCTCTCTCTGCCTCTGTCTCTGCCTCTGCCTCCCTGCCTCTCTGTAACTCTGACTTTCATATAAATAAATAAATCTTTAAAAAAATGAAACTACTCAGAAAATTGTAAAACGTTAAGAATTTCAAGTGGGATTACAATGCCAGATATCTAATTATTCATTAAGTTGTAAATTTTTGTATTTTGCATGACCTTCAAAATAAATGAAAATTCATTATAGTAAGATTTTTATTATCTCTGAATTGATAATTAATTCAATTACATATCAGCTATATTGTTTTGTTCATTCTTTTTTTCTCTTTCTCCTTTTACAGATATGGAACCTGAGTCTGGGAGGTTAATGTCAACACTGCTTATGTTCTTTTTTTTTTTTAACTTTTATTTAATGAATATAAATTTCCAAAGTACAGCTTATGGATTACAATGGCTTCCCCCCCATAACGTCCCTCCAACCCGCAACCCTCCCCTTATCCACTCCCTCTCCCCTTCCATTCACATCAAGATTCATTTTCGATTCTCTTTATATACAGAAGATCAGTTTAGCATACATTAA